GAAACGCTTACTATGTGTAGTACAGTTTTTGGGGACTCAAGGATTGGCATTTCGAGGAACAAAAGATGTTCTATTTGAACATAATAATGGCAACTTTCTAAAACTGGTAGAACATATAGCAAAGTTTGATGGTTTTATGGCCGAACATGTGAGAAGAATCAGTTCCAAAGAAACACACGTTCACTATTTGAGCAAAAATGTCCAGAATGAGTTTGTTAGTTTCTTGTCAACCAAGATCCAGGATAATATCTTACAACAACTACACCAGGCAAAATATTATTCTATTATATTAGACTGCACTCCCGATGTTAGCCACACTGAACAAATGACGTTGGTGGTGAGATTCATAAAATCTGAAGCAAATACAGATGTCTCAATTAAGGAACATTTTTTAGGCTTTGTTCCTGTTACCCATTCTTCAGGTGAAGGTCTCACAGAAATATTACTCAAAGAGTTAGAAGCACGACGYATTCCTTTAAARTCCATKAGAGGCCAGGGCTATGACAATGGTTCTGCAATGAAGGGAAAGCATGTTGGAGTCCAGAGAAGGATCCTTGATTTAAATCCTAGAGCCTTTTATGTACCGTGTGGAAACCACTCGCTCAACTTGGTYGTAAATGATGCAGCTCTGTCTTGCAGTATTGCAGTAGACTGTTTCAGCACTATACAAGAAATCTTTAACTTTTTTTCAAGTTCTACTCAAAGATGGTGTATTTTGTTGAATCACGTTTCGACTCTCACAGTCAAACCACTCTGCAATACTAGGTGGGAAAGTAGAATCGAGGCACTGTTGCCTTTGAGGTTCCACATTGAAGAAGTATATGATGCCTTATATGAAGCTTCTCAAGAGCAGAAACTTGATGCATTTGGTAGGAACACTGCTATAGCACTGATAAAGAAACTGCAAAGCTTCAAGTTTCTGTGCTGTTTAGTGACATGGCATGAGATCCTACATAAGATAAATATGATTAGTAAACAGTTGCAAAAAATCACAAATGATCTTCAAAGTTCTATGGATCTTATTAAGAGTGTACAATCATTTCTAGAAAGGATGAGATCTGATCAAGGTCTAAATAGYGTCATTATAGATGCAAAAGAACTTGCAGAAAAAATTGATRTTGCTGCTGACTTTGAAAAAGAAACACTAGTTCGACCAAGAAAAGTAAACAGACAATTTTCCTATGAGAGTAAAGATGAAGCTGTACATTCCGGTAAAGATTCTTTTAAGGTCAACTTCTTCTTTGTTGTGCTTGACACCGCAATATCCTCATTAAAGGAGAGATTTGAGCTAATGGAAAACCATAGTGAAAATTTCAAATTTCTGTATGATATTTCAAGCCTTGGGAAAAGTTTGAATGAAACAGAATTGAAGAATGCCTGTCAACACCTTCAAACCATTTTGGCCGATGGAGAAGACTGCGATGTGAATGGTGATGATCTGTTTGAAGAGCTACAAATATTTGCAACTATGCTGCCCCCTAGAAGTCATCCAGCTAAAGCGTTGTCTTTCATAACCAAACGTGGTTATGTGGATACTTTCCCAAATGTTTATATTGCATTGAGAATTCTGTTAACACTTCCAGTATCTGTGGCCAGCGGTGAAAGGAGTTAGAAAACTTATAAAAACGTATTTAAGATCAACTTTGAGTCAAGAGCGCTTGAGTGGACTAGCAACCTTGGCTATTGAAAATGGCTTGTTGGATGAAATGGAAACAGATATAATAGTACACGAGTTTTCAAAATTGAAAGCCAGAAAAATCTCTTTTTAATTTTAAAAGTGTTCAAGTTTATTTGTGTTAAGGAAAACTGGATGTTAAAGTATCCACTAAAGTGAAGGGGCCAGAGGCTGACTATGTTGCCACACTCATTGTAATGGTCCAGGCTGGCATGGCACTTTTGAAGGACAAGAGTTCACTTTCTTAAAAAGGAGGTGTCTATTCTCCTGGGGCTGCGTTCTCCAAAACAAATCTGATTGACAGACCCAACAAGCATGGGATTGAGTTCTCTGTTATTAGCAAACCCCTAGTCTGAAAAATCTTCTCTGAAGAGACAGCATGACCAGGAAACCTTTGTGTAGTACTTGTAGACCAAAAATAACAACAAAAACTTAAAATTGTTGCTAAGTTTAGTAAAATATTTGCATTCTTAAAAAAGTTAATTTGTGTAATGTAACTATATAAACATAATGTTGTAAGTAAATTTCTGGTTTGTAAGGTAACTCTTTTATTCACCTCTACCTTCTACGTTTTATTTTTCAGGGATTGGTTGGGGGGAGGGGGCGCCAAAATAATGTTTGCTTACCATTGAAAATTACCTAGGGCCGGCCCTTGGTGGCTGAGTTTTTGGGGGGGGGCTGAGTCTGAGTGAAAGAGGGTCTAGCCTAGCAAACCTTTTGTATCATTACCCCAATACCCCCATGCATATGGGATATATTGAGTATGGTGATCAGATCATGATATGAATACACATAACAGTTTAAATAATGCACCAGTAAGGCCTTTTCGCGAACCACCATGAGAATTTCGGGGGGGGGGGAGCTGAAGCCCCCCCCCCCCCCCGGCTACATGCCTGATCTGAAGTTTGCCTCTATGTGCCACAATAGTCCCGTGAACAATTTAACCACTGAACCCCATCTAAGACAAACCACAACTTACTATACGGGTTTCTCAGGTAAGAGTTTTGTTTGTGCAGGGCTCAAGTTAAATTCTAGTTTCTTCTTCTAGCACTCTCAGCAAAAAACCAAAACAAAACATAGAAAAGAAACATAAAACATTAGTATCTGTATATTTTAAAATAGATGATGATTTTGTGAAAATATGTGGACCTAATGTATTCATGATTCATTAACTATTGCTAGAAATCGGAATGCAGAATGTATCATATCAACATAATTTCACTATGTATTACAAACTTACTCATTTTAAAGCCCCCATTTCAAAAATTCTGTTCATACTCTGGGAATCTCTGGGCTGCTGCGATTTTGTGGTTCGCTCCAACTTCAATGAATTTTAAAGAAGATTAGATAAATTAATCAAGGATAAAGCTATTAATGGCTAATAGCCATGATGGATTACCCTAGTGTGATTGATAGTGCGTCCCTGAATAAAAGTTGCCTGGGAGCATGATCAGAAGGGTGCTATTGCATTCATGTCCTGAATGTAGGCTTGCCATAGTTACCTGGCTGGTTACAGTGTGAACAGAATGCTTGATAAGAGCCTTTTCGTCTGATTAAACAGGGCTCTGCATGCATTCTGCTTCTCTTTAACTGTTACTGAGGCATCTCTTCTTGAAATTATGCTTTGTTCATATTGCTCCTCAGTATTTATTTTTGTTTATTAGGCCATGAATTCTTATTCCTCATTATAAGCAAGCTTAAAGACATGAGATGAAATAGGGTCACATTTTTCCTTTGCCTGTCTTCTGTCTTCCTAATATCTTAATATGTTTATATTAAGTTATAAACATAAGGTTTATGGAACTGCGGTGGCACAGTGGGTTAAACCCTTGTGTTGCTAACTGCTGACCTGAAGGTCGGCAGTTCAAATCCATGAAACGGGGTGAGCTCCCGTCTATCAGCCCCATCTTCCCATACAGGGATATGAGAGAAGCCTCCCACATCTGGGCGTCCCCTGGGTCTCTGCAGACAGCCAATTATTTCACACCAGAACCAACTTGTAATTTCTCAATTTGCTTCTGACATGATAAAAAAAAAAACAAACAGAAGGCTTGGACAGGTCCATTTTGGCATATGAAATTCTGTGACATCCCATCCTGATGCTATTATTAGGCGAAGGAGCAGATGATGGTAGAGAAAACGTGGTGAATAAATATGCCTGTTAAGTTTGGCCCACTGCTGTCAAGGCTGAATAAGGTTTCATTAAAAGTGCTAAATTAAGATGTCAGCTTGCTTTGGGAATCAGGCAGCAAAATGACTTGGACTAGACCTGGCCATTGTACAAATCAAAAGCAAAAAAGGGTGGCTTCTGAGGAGAGAGAGAATTCTCAGGATGTATAAAATATGTATGTAGCTCCATTTGGTTTACTCTAATATTCTTTTTAAATTTTATTTCATCTGTAAGTTAATACAAGATTTATGGATACAGGCACCTTTTGGGTCTATTCAACTAAAAACATATTATCCCCCTTTAATGGTTCTTGAAGAAAGAGATATTAGTATTTCTCAACTGAAGCACATTGGTCTTAAGACTATTATTTACTTTCTAATTTTAGATAGATTTTGGGCTATCACCACAGTGTCATATACATATGTTAGATCTTGTTGCTATGCAATTTTGTATTCAGTTCACAGTGACCTAAGCAGGGTTTTACAAGTGCTACCGCTACAGGTGCATCTGCCATTGCATACCCATTTGTCACTGATATCACTGGATTTACTGGGATTTCAGAGGCAGCCTGAATGGCATGGTACAATACTGCATAAGTCGGCCATGTAGTTGTGTATGGCAGCACTTCTTGCCACTTCTCTCTCATTTTCATCACTGTGTACACTGACTATCAACTATAATAAACAAAATATTTTATTTGTATTTACTATGCATGCTGTGTTCAACCTGCTTAATACAAATATGTTTATATTTGTATATTTGAAGAATAATGACTTAAGTCTAATTGCTTCAAGATATCAAATCTCTCATGCAAGCATTTCCCCCCCACCAAATTTGAGATCTTTTTAGTCTTTTCCAATTTCCAATGAATAATTGATGAGCTTGTACCTAAAGAATACAGTACTTGCAATTTTATTATATCCATATGATTAGAAATTGCAGTGCTAGAGGAAGGAAAAAGAGGCATATTAAAGTTCAGTGGATAAAAGAGTTCATACCTTTTTGGGCTCCAACTGAAAGCACATTTGGCACAGCAAAGGATATTTATTTATGAATGAAGATTAAACCTTGTGCAAAATCACGCTAATCACAGGTGCTGTTTTCATCAGCAAATTATATGAAGAGCTAACCCTTTCCTTGCTTTCCATGCTGCAGGACGGCTTCTAAGAGCATTTGATCCTGTCTACCCTAAGAACCTCTGGATAGATCCAAAGACATTCTGCAACGGGCTTCCTTTCCATATTGTTTTTGATGAAGAGGTATGTCAAACTAATGATAACATGCTTCCTGTTATATGTGAACCAGATATACAGACACTTAAAATGCCCAAAGCTTAGAAGTTGTCAGTCCAGAAATGGCCCCCCATTCACAAACTTTGTCTCAGTTCTTAAAAAATACAGCGAATATGGTTACATTTCAGTGCTAATACCTCCCTTCATGTGAACATATAAATATGCATTCAGGCACACTTCTACCTGTGGAAGACAATAGCAACAACAGGTCTTCCAGCAACCTCCTTACACTATGCTAAGACAGAAGGAAGCAGGGGTGACATGAAGCATGGCTATTGTTTTGAACTGGGTTGTGGCAGATTTTTAAAAAATATATTTTATTTTCATGTCAGGAGCGACTTGAGAAACTGCAAGTCACTTCTGGTGTGAGAGAATTGGCTGTCTGCAAGGACATTGCCCAAGGGATGCCCAGATGTTTTACCATCCTGTGGGAGGCTTCTCTCATGTCCCCGCATGAAAAGCTGGAGCTGACAGACGGGAGCTCACTCCACTCTCCGGATTCGAACCTGTCCTGCTGGCACAAGGGTTTAACCCATTGTGCCACTTGGGGCTCCAGCATGGTAGATGATCTCTTCTTTCATGCTACCTTTGGTCCATCAGGCATTCAAAGCAATAGCCACACTCCACATTGTCCCTTCCCACTTTTTTTTGGGCAGTGTGCAGGCACTGGTGTTGTGTTTCTTATTCTCCCTTATTTCTCCTTCCAGAGGCTTGGGTAAACTGTAGCATCACTAATTGTCTAGTTGTTCAGCAGAGTGCCTTCCCAGATCTGTTTAGTTCCATACCTGCACAATCCTATACGTTTACCAAGAAATAAAACCCCCTGAAGTTGATTGTTAGAAATACTTCATTGTTACTGTTGCCTGTTGGATGTTGCAAAGACACAAATCCACTACAAGCAGTAGTACATAAATCACAGAGGTAATTTTTTTTGCAACTTATATAATACAACATTGAACGTATATGCAACTTATATAATACAGCATTGAGCAATATACAGAGAACATAAGACTGTTATATACACAGTGATTTTTACACCATCACAAAAATAGAATATTTCTTGTACCTGTTGAATGTTATGTGGTCTGTACTCTTAATTTAATAGTCCCTAGAAATGTTGCCAAATACATTTATTCTTATTGTTTGTTATACTGTCATATCTCGAGGAACTGAATTTGCATAGATGATGTGCCTTTTCATTTCCATCTTCATAGAAATTCTGCACGTTAGGTCTAGTGAAGATAATAACAGTCCAAGGTAATTAAGTGAAGTTTATAGTTGTTCGTATTTGAGCCGATGTTCTTAGTCTTAGTCTAACACTCTAACTGTATAACACACTTTCTTCTGTTTGAAATACTACCAACCATATACTCATAGACTACTTTTTCTTTATTGAACAATTATTCAATGGGTCTATTCTGTTTGGGACTAAAAATAGGACCTGGCCATGGTATTCTATGGTTTAGAAGAGTTTCTGTGTTGGGAGGAAAGATACAGAACAAGGAGTAATTGAGAAAACTGAAATTAATATAGTGGTCTTGAAGGATATAGTCATAAGCGGAAGCATTGAAAAAAGAATGTAAACAACATCTGTTTCAGAGGTATTTATGAAATGAAGTTCTAGTAGGACATGCATGAAAATCTTCCAGGAATGCTCAAGAATCTTGTGTTGTTTTTTCAAAACATTTTTTAAAGCTGAAAGTAAAGCAGGCTGGAGTCAGCATTCAAAAGATTGTTCCTGGCCTTCAAACTATGGGCATTCGTCTTAATCAGTACTTCAGTATTGTGCGCCCTGAAGTGAAATTCACCATCTCCAGTGTTCAGAAATTTATCAACAGCCAATTTGTTTTCCGAACTAAGAGAGAGATGATGCCAGAATCCTGGAAGCAGCGTCCAATGTTAGAGCTGAGAGGTAGTTGCTTGTTTTCTCAATAAATTTTACAGTTGGGAGATGCTGTTGTGACTAATAAAAGTTTACTATGTAGGCTTCAGCAGTAATTATGGAACACAACTGTTTCTCGCTGAAGGGCTAAATCTTTGTTTGACTTTGGAAATTTATACCAGTTCAGCTTAAAGCTGGGTACTCATGTGGCCTAGTGCTTTTTTATCCCCCAAATACCTTGCATAGAGAAAGCTAGATACCAGAGGAAAAGGTTTCAGCCTGTTCTTCTGTAAATGCTAGTTTTTTGTGTGCATTTAATTTATTTGTTATATGAACATTCAGTCATGGGATTGGGTGGGTAATAACATTCTAAGGTCTGCAGGACACACAGTCTCTGTTTTTGGTCATACACACAAGGCCAACTATTTTCACAGAGAATGAAATATTTTGCTTAGTGGGCATGTCTGCCAAAAGCAAGATTCTTCTGCTCAAGAAAAGAGGGCATATAACAATCTTTAGAAGTCACAACAACTGTTTCTATTGAATCAGAGGTTCATAAATTTGGACAAAATCTTGTAGGCCAGTGAGCTCAACTCCCTTGCAGGAAGGCCAATGACTTGAAAAATTGCTGTTTAGATTCTACATAAATGCGTTTAAAGTATCATCTTGCTAAAAACCTGCTCTTTCCCCTTCCAAATCCTTCCCTGTGAAATCTGAAATGGTGCCCTCCTCACAGTAGTTGGGTTAGCTGATTTTCTGTTCTGGATGGAGTAGAAGAGAATGGGAGGGGAGGGTTAGACCACTGAGCATGTAGAAATGACAAAAAAGATCACTAAAAGTATTTAAACTAAAAAGAATGGTGTACAGGAAGTCTACCGATGACTATGCCTTTGTGTGAATCAGGACAGATGATCTGGATGGAGTCTGTCCAGTGTATGCTGTACCTCTGCTCCCCTCTCCTACGCACATTGCATGAGCTGGAAGAGCGGCACATGCACATTGCGGACATTGCTCCCCATGATGTCACCAGAGATCTGATCCTTCTCAATCAACAGCGACTGGCTGAGATGGAGCTGTCCAGTCAACTTGAGAGGAAGAAAGAGGAACTGAGGATCCTGTCAAAGCATCTGGAGGAAGAGAAAAAGAAAACGGAAGCCCTTCTCTATGCCATGCTCCCTAAGCATGTGGCCAACCAGCTCAAAGAAGGGAAACGAGTCGAGGCAGGTGAATGCACACAATATGGGTCAAAAACTTTGAGATGTGTAGAGCTATGATATGCAATTTGCTTATGTTGTAAGAATGAAATTCAGAATCTGGGGAGGGCTGAGAAAATGTATGGGACTCAGAGCCAAGTTGGTCCAGGCAGATTCTCTCCTTTTCTCTAATACTGTCACTGGAGTGTGGTGCAGTGCAATTTGTGGAAAATATAGTGTAAAAATATATAGTTTCCCCAGGCTTTGTCCATGATTCTATTTAAAACATTAGCACGATATTTCCCAAACTCTAATCATCCAGATGTTTTGGACTTCATTTCCCAGAATCACTGGTCATTAGCCAAGGCAGCTGAGACTTCTGGGAGTCCAAAAACAACTGGAAAATTAGAGTTTGGGAATCACTGTATAGTGTGCTGTCCAATATCAAATGCTTGAATTGATCTGAATACAGGAGCTCAGAAAAATTGATGAACTTGATTCCCAGAAGAAGTAAACTGTTGAATATGAGATTCTCGGGTTTAAAAGAGGGGTGTTTACCTTCATGTCTTTCTTCCTAGCTTTTGGAACCTTCTGTCTATGGTTTGTGTCATCTAATGGCTCTTCTTTTTAATGGAATGTTGAAATTTTGCTTAATTTTCATGACAAGATCAATGTCAATTTGGCTCAAATGTGCTATTATACAAAATATTTGATAATATGCTGTTTTGATCCCTTTACTGCAGAATGGTATTTAAATAATCCTTTGTTATGTCTTCTTGGGCTGTTTCCCTTGGCAAAGTAACCAATAAGCTGTGTAAATAATGGTAAAAATAGCTTACAAGTAGGTATTATTATAAGTCAATGTTAGAATATTAAATGAATATAGTACTATGAAAAGACTTCTAATATAGATCTGTATATATATTTGCTTGCAGGAGAGTTCAAAGAATGCACAATATTATTTAGTGATGTTGTAACTTTCACCAACATTTGTGCCCAGTGTGAACCTATTCAGATAGTCCTCATGTTAAATGAAATGTATCTACGATTCGACAGGCTGACCACCGTGCATGATGTCTATAAGGTATTTGTTTTGCCTCTTGTGTTGGTTAATTTCATGATATCGACATGAATACAGGAAGGGGAACAGATGTCAAAAATAATTCCTTTGTAGCCTTTCTACATCTTGAAAAGCATCTGGGGGTATTTTTTTCTATTTTCTTTGACTTCAGGTTCTAGCAATGTCTATACAAGTAAAGGAAATAGGTTGTTTTTGGCTTGTCGTGCCCTTGTTCTCCCCTTCACCTTGTCTAGATCATTTGCCTGTTGTCCAACTGTCCTTAGATGTCCTCTAAGACATCTTCTATGTCACCCAGTCCATGACTTACCCTTAGTTAAGCCAAAACGAGAGATAGCAATAGCTTAACAAAATGATTTAAAAAATCTCCAGAAGATAAATTGCTATAATGGTAATAGTAATTGTGATGGTAGTAACAGAAAATGCATACAATTTGGGGACAACTTTGCAAAAAAAAGAAACAAAAAGAGTGAGTAAGGAAGCAAAAAGAGATGTGGAACTACACTAGACATGAATCAGGCTTAGGCATATCCATTGATATAAACTCACTGTATTTTCAAACCTACATTTGTTTTTGAAGCTGACAGCTATAAAATGCATTTTATTGTGTACCTGAAGCTGTAAGATGTGACCATTGAATAATAGATGATTAATGTTCAGTTTTCAGCCTTGAAATATAAATTCTTCTGTCAACATTAAAAGCACATGCAACCCAAACATGTTGACCAGCTGTTACATTCTGCATAATAAGAAAATTAGGTCTAGGTGGAGTTGCTCTGCCAAAGCTCAAAATGACTAGGATGTTATTTTAATAAGATTTGATGATTTCAAAGAAGCTCAAACAGAGATTATTACCATTTTAGGATGTCTCTGCTTCTTTTTTAAAGGTGGAGACTATAGGAGATGCCTACATGGTGGTTGGGGGTGTCCCTGTGCCTGTATCAACACATGCTGAAAGGGTTGCCAACTTTGCTCTAGGAATGATCATAGCAGCCAAAGACATCAAGAATCCAATTTCTGGAAGCCCCATTCAAGTGAGTATCAAAGTAATATGTTTTCTGCTTATTGTTTGTGAATGAAGATGATTTGGCCTGGATGCAATCTCATACTTTTCTGCAGTAATAGGCAGAAATCCACCCATACTTAGAGAGCAAAGTCAACAAAATGAATGTCCCTTAGGTTAATTTCATTGAGTCCTCCATTATCTTAACAAACCAGCATCTGAAATACATCATGGTTTGTCTGGGAAAATGTACAGAAATGACCCAGCACCAATCTCCAGAGCTATATAATCTTTATTATTATATTATTTATAATAACAAGAGTTTCAATAAGCATGGCAAAGATAACTAATTCCAGGCATTTGGGAATGTGCAGTATTCTACATGTTTTCATTGGGTTAGAATTGCCATACTCCCTCATCACTCACTATGCTGACTAGGGTTAATGGAAGTTGTCATCCAATAACATCTGAAGGGGCACATATTTCCCCATTCCTAATGTACACATTCTAGTTCAAAGGGAAGCTTTTTGAATTCAAATGGATGCATCAAGAATGTTGTCCTTTCTTTTAAAAGCTACAGTAAACTTTGATCATCCAGGAGTGTCAAAGTGCACACAGAGATCTGGATCTGGAACTAGGAGATCCAGCACATATCTTTCCAATTTTGTATTGATATATGCTTCTACATCAATAGAAAAACAAGCATCCCAGTGTCTCTGCAGGATTAGTTCTGAGTAGCCTCAGCACATTAATCCACTGTAGAGAAGTAGGATTTAGTGGGATTTTATCAAAGCTGTAAAGGATGTTCAGAACTCATGAGATGTCTAAGAATAATCTTGTGATTCACTCTTTGCAGTTGTGCTTGGGTTTCTTGGAATGCAGAAAAAACATCAGAGACAAATGGGTCCATGCATGTATATGTACATACACATACAAATGCTGGCATAGCACCTGTTTTTTTACCCTACTTTTTAAAAAGCTAAACATCTCCCCAGCTCCTGCAACATTTTAGCAGAGTTAAAAGTAGAATTTACTCAGAAATTATGGCTGACTCATTCCTCTTGCAAACATCTTTCAGCCCTCTAAAGCATGCTGCTTTCCATGTGTCCTAATTTGGGATGGAGTCACTTTTCATTTCCTGCTACTGGTAGTTAGGGACTCTGTTAGTCTGTTTAAAGTACTCAAAGATCTACCAGTAGATCTCAGTAATTTTTTGCTTGCCTTTGCTTTAAAAGACTTCACCAAAAGGAGCTCCGGATTATGGGTTGACACTATTTTTTTTTTGCATGTTAGAGATAATGGATGTGTTGCACTTGAATTTAAAGGTGTTGTAGATAAGATTTTTTTAAAAAATAAATCTCTCTCAGATCAGAGTTGGGATCCACACTGGGCCTGTCCTTGCTGGTGTTGTTGGAGAAAAAATGCCACGCTATTGCTTATTTGGAGACACTGTAAATATAGCATCCCGAATGGAGAGCCATGGAGTCCCTAACAAAATTCACCTGAGTGCCAATGTTCACCAGTAAGTACTTTCTATGCAATCCATTCTTTTCTAACATTTTTCCAATAAAAATATTGCCTTAGGCTCATGCAGCTTGTGACATAGCAATCCCTCTTTACTGAACTGCTGTCATGAATGACTTTTCAATGCACTGCTCTAAAGATATTTGAATGTGGTTCAAATATCCTTAGAGCAGTAAAAGGCAGTACATTTGGTACTAATTATGAAATCAGCCTATCCCCCAAGGGACTATTTTCCTGCAACTCACAATCCCTTCCAGACTGCCCTTGTTTTCACAAAATTGTGAATATACTCCTTTGGAAGTCTCCGAGAATGGCAACACACCTGAGAAATAGGTTGTACTCCTTAGCATTGTTTAACAAATAAATGCCCATTTTCCAAAACCAAAAATGGCTTTTTTTGTTTTCCTTCCTTCCTCCCCCTCCCTTTTTTGTGCATTTATGGGCTTTTTTAAAGTCAGTGGAGAGGTGACTCAAGTTTGGGCTTGAGTGAGTTATTCAAGGTGCTGTGGCCAATCTCCCAATATGCTGAGCACTTCAGAGTGTCAGCCAGAACAGATATGAAAGCTACCAATTTCCATTGACAGCATTACATCACACTGTATTTGTTTACTCTTCAACGATACTGGAAATGTTTCAAAGTAATGACAATCAAATCTGAAATCTTAGCAATGTCATAGTGCACGGTGTAGTAATAAGCAAACTTTTAATAAAGCATATTGGTGCAGTTGCTTATATTAAACGTTTTTCATACCTTCTGCTGAAATGTGTTGTTCTCTGAAATGTGTTTTTTATGCTCTCTGCTGAAACCCGTTATTCTCTGTATGATTCAGGTGCTTAAAGGACAAGAACTTTGAGATGATGGAAAGAGGAGAAATTGATGTGAAGGGCAAAGGAAAAATGCATACTTACTTCCTGGTTCAAAATTCAACTGCAACAGAGAATGAAATTATGGGGAGGCCAGTCAGGGAACCTGACCTCAGCCATGAATCTGCTCAACTGATTCAGGAATGCAGAGCTGACGAATTTCAGAAGTTGTATCCACAAGGTAGAGGATGGAAAACATCAAGTTTTTCCTAGTATTTTTATATCAGTGTTGGGACAACTGAGATTCTCTATGGGATACACAGCTACAGTTCTTCTCCAAATCTCACCCCATAAAACACAGCTTTAATGCCAGGCAGCTGCATCAAGTGAATGAGCTCTGCAACACTCAGTATGGCTGCCTAGCTTTTAAAATGGGTTTTAGGGACACGTGTGATTGTGGCAATGGTACCAAAATCATAAATGCAAATAGAAAACAGTTGCAGTCTAGTGAATGACATCATAACTTATTATACCACCATCTTTTCACAATGATTGCACATGGTTGATGTCATCCTTATATTTGCAGAAGTGTCCAAATTCTAAGCTGGAAGAAATCCACAAAACGTTCCAATACTGAGCAAGCTACATAGGGGATGGAAAGTTAGCAGAAAGAGGAAATTATATTGGGTTGCGTAGTTCATAGATAAAAGGTGTAATCTACTGCCATAAAATTGTTGATGATGGGGCTTAAATACCATAAAGGATCCCAATCCTGTCTGAAATTGGAAGCTGTTCAGGGTAGTTGGATGGGAGACCATCCATAAAGACCAGATACTGTAGGCTATATTTTAGGAAGGAACAGGAAAAATCACTTCTGAGTATTCCTTGTCTTAGGGCCCTTCCACACAGCCATATAACCCAGAATATCAAGGCAGAAAATCCCAAAATATCTGCTTTGAACAAGGTTATCTGAGGACCCTTCCACACAGCCCTATATCCCAAAATATCTAGGCAAAAAATCCCACATTATCTGAGTGTGGACTCAGATAACCCAGTTCAAAGCAGATATTGTGGGGTTTTTTGCTTTGATATTCTGGAATATAGGACTGTGTGGAAGGGCCCTGAGTCCCCACTGCCATATATTGTGGTTCAAAGCAGATAATGTGGGATTTTATTCAGCTGTGTGGAAGGGGCCTGTGACGTCACTATAAGTCGACAAGCAACTTGAAGATACAATCACATGTATGGATGGTTTTTAAAGGAGAGTGGATAAATACAGGTAGGAATGGGTCATTAATGACCACAAGCCAGGAAAGGTGTATAATACCTTCACTAATATTATGATTCTTCATATAAGTAGCTTGGGAGCATGAGATGGCAGTTGCAGTTGCACTCACAAATTGGCTTTCATAGGCAATTTGCTTGCTCACTGTGGTCCCTTCCACACAGCCATGTAACCCAGAGTATCAGGGCAGGTAATCCACAATATCTGCTTTAAACTGGATTATCTGTGTCAACACTGTCATATAATCCAGTTCCATGTGGATCTTATACCTCTGTGTGGAAGAGCCTAGTGTTAATAGTATGTCAGGATAAATAGGCCTTTGGTCTCATCCAGGACGTTCTTCTTATGTTCTTCTGGAGTGTTGTAGAGGAGGCATTCAGACTGACTGGAATATTAAATAAGAGGATTTCACATTGCAATATTCTATTACAAATCTTTTTTTCTATAGTTACGCTCTTTTGTTTTTCTGCTCTTTTTCAAGATATACAGCCAAATTCAAATGAAGAATCGCTTCCTATCATAGCGATGAAATATGCAGATAGTTCTACAGAAGCACATACCAACATTAAAGAAAAGAATGAAACAAGAACAAAGGATTTAGCAGGTATCAAGAAGGCTGATGCTCAATGGGATTGGGCCTAGGGTGCCTTTAGTTTCACATTACCTGAAGGTAAAAAGTATCAAATCTAAAAGGATAAAAATGATTCCTTGTTCATAGTGCTATGAGTAGTGCTTGTTTGCAATATGTGTGTAAATTGACGAACTCATGTTCACTTTCTGGAAGCTTTAAGTATAGTCTCCTATAGCCTAAGGGGAGCACCACAAAAGGCAAAATGGAGTCCCAACACTCAGATTTTCAAGTAAGGTCTCATATCTGTTTGCAGTTTGGAAACCAGGTCTAGAACTTATCTTATCACTGTCTATGTTTCAAGGTGCTGCTGCATAAAAGCTGTGTTGAGAGTATTAGCTGTGTTTCTGTCCTTTGTGTCTTTTCTGATAGCACAACTTTGAAGTTCCTCAGCCATGAACAGAAGGGCTTACCATCACACCAAGGCCCCTTTCACACAGCTGTATAAAATCCACATTGAACTGGATTATATGGCAGTGGAGACTCAGATAACTTCGTTCAAAGCATATATTGCACATTATCTGCCTTGATATTCTAAGTTATATGGCAGTGTGGAAGAACCCTCAGGTCCCTTCTACACAGCTGTATAAAATCCAGATTTTTTTTCTGTGTCAGGAGCAACTTGAGAAACTGCAGGTCGCTTCTGGTGTGAGAGAATTGGCCATCTGCAAAGACATTGTCCAGAGGACCACCAAATGTTTTTTTGTCATCCTTGTGGGAAGCTTCTCTGATGTCCCCTTATGGGGAGCTGGAGCTGACAGAGGGAGTTCAATCCGCTCTCCCCTGATTTGAACAGCTGACCTGTCAGTCATGCCAGCACAAGGGTTTAACCCATTGCACCAGCGGGGGCAGATTATCTATTTTGAACTGGATTATATGACAGTGTAGACACGGAGCGCTTCCACACAGCCATATCACCTAGAATATCAAGGCTGAAATCCACAATATCTTCTGTGAACTGAGTTATATAATCCATATAATCCATTTAAAAGCAGATAATGTGGGATATTATACAGATGTATGGAAGGGGGATCAGATAATCCAATTCAAAGCAGATTATTTGGATTATCTGCCTTGATATTCTGGATTATATGGCAGTGTAGAAGAGGGCTCAGTTATTATCCTTTCCATTATTTACAGCGACTCAGGTTTCAAAAACTTTATTATGTTCCCTCATGACATTCATGATTTTGGTACACTCTTATAGAATAAAACTGTGTCTTTACAGTCAGAGCACTTGATGCTGAATCCTATGCAAGTCTTCAAGGTGACCAGCTGTCAAACCAAGAGCCCCATCCTCATCATATGCAAGGAAGAAGCAAACCAGCAGCAGAAACACCACGGATCAGGAACATCAGATCCAATTTCTGCACTATGCTTTAAACAGCTCTTGAATTTTCAAACTGAAGGGTGGAAGTGTGTTCTGTGATGTTGTATTTTGCTGTTGCTCTCTTGGGGTCTTGACTTTGTGTACAAGTAGTACAGCATGTGCTCCTGATATTGAAATATTTTGAAATCACTGGTAGCAATAATGAAAGAAAGGCTGGCATTTTGACCATCAGTCTTGACTCATCTTATGTGTATGAACTTGAGACATCTAGTAATGTGTGAGAGAAGGAGGTTTGTCCTCCACACATCAGCATTTTTAAAAAAGGTTGGTCGTCTTATCCCAAAGTGTGTTGTGTCGACATTTCAGGAAAGCGTGATTGGATGCAATCAGGACAACTGTGCATATGAGCTTGGCTAAGGTTTGTCCGGGACCACCGGCCTCCAGATTCTGACCCTTCTCCGTGACTAGTGGAGAAAATATTTCAGTCAGAAGCCCTTGGTTTTTGTTTTTGTTTTTGCTGATGTAACCAGGGGCTATGTTAAGATTACTCTTTTTCTGATGTTTTTCTATATTTCCGTACCTTCTCATACAGGCTGCAAAATGGCCGTTGGATAATTCCCAGGTACGGCTCCCAAATAGCAACTGGTTGGCCAAAGGGTGAGTAGATGTGCCTGCCATCCAGATAGCCACTATTTTCTTCCCAAACATCCACATTAGGATGGATCAACTTTATGATTCACCAACTTCAATTAGGATCTTGTTCTCAGTGTAGATCAGCAATGTGTCAATAGTTTCCTTTCTTATACTTTTATACCGAAAGAAACAAAATACAGGGCCTATGTTTATTGTGTTTCAGGAAGAAAAGCAGTGTGGGAAATAAAGAGTCAATAGTTTCCATCTCCTCCTAAGTCCTCCAATAAGACTCGAACCACCTACTGCAATTTTGTATGATAATGGAAACAGGTGTTGAGATGGAAATAGAACTACAAATAACCGTGGTTCATCTTGAAGGTGAATAGATTGTTTGCATCCACAGCTGTTTGACAACTTAGTTTTAACCAATGACAGTAAAAGTCATGGAAGATCAGCAGCCCTACCTATAATGTGTAGATGACTGGATGGGATTAGTGTAGATCCCAACAAGTTTCAGTATATACAGGTATGGTCTTCTTATCTGTATGAATGTCACTGTGAATGCACCTTCATGGTGTATGTATCATTTATATTTGGGCAATAAATGTTTTTTATGAAATTGTATTAGCATTATTTTTATATGAAAGCAAGCAGTTGTTACTTATGAAGAGCTGTTTTAGAAAGACCACCAGGTGTTACTGTACCTGGTTTAAGTCAAAGGTACATTCAGGTTTATTTATTTATTTGCAGTATTTATATTCTGCCCTTCTCACTCTCGGGGGACTCAGAACAGATTACAATGCATATATACATGGCAAACATTAAATGTCATAGACATACAACATATATAGACATACAGAGGCAATTTAATTTTCCAGGTTTCCAGCTTCATGAGGATATGTTTGATTCCGGGCACAGAGGGAGCTGTCACTTCACTATCCACTTATGACACCGAGTCCTTGATGGAGTACTTCCTCATTCTTCCGCACGCTGCTGGAAGGTTTTATGGTGTCATAAATTAGTTAAATTAGTCTCCTGCATAAAGCGTTACCTAAATTTCCTACTTGACAGATGCAACTGTCTTTTGAGCTGCATAGGTCAACAGCAATCTAGACTATTAATGGGCAGGAGCTTATTCTGACCAGGGCTGGCTTCGAACTCATGACCTCTTGGTCAGTAATGATTTAATGCAGCTGGCTACTAACTAGCTGTGCCACAGCCCGGTCTAGCTGTGGTAAATTGGATATCATGACTTCCCAAATATCTCACCAAGTGGTCAATGCTGAATGGTTTATTTATTATTTATTTATTTACTCCTTTTGTATACCGCCTATATCAGCCAACAAGGCGACTCTAAGCGGTTTTCAATAATTCCATCATACTCTTGGTAAGTTAGATCCAGGTGCATAACTGCAAGTTTGATTCAAAATGACTGGACATTGAGAGGGATTAACCTTACCTTAATAGTAATCTGTCTTCTTTCTTCCACATAACTGCATTTTTGCTGTATATGTAATGTTTTAAATGTTTGTATCCATTATACATCACCCTAGGATTCATTTAGCTAATTTAGATTTAGTTCATACATTGTCTAAAGTGGTTGATGTGATATCTTTAATTATTAATGACTGAACTTCTTGCCTAGAGAGACAATGAACTATACAAAGTGTGGTCACTAGAGTAACTGATGAAGGCTCATAATAAAGGATCCAACTGTCAGGGGTTATTAGCTGTAAATTGAACTTCAGTATATAGATGTTGTGTGTCTCTTATCAACAGATATCATGGAGAAACAAGAGAAATCCATTTCTTTACCATCTTCCTGGCTGAGCTTCTTGAAATTGCCAGCTTAGCTTCAGGATGAAGATTGTATCCCTTTGATTAGAACCTGGAAATGTTACCAACTAAATTTCCAGGGTTCCTCCAGCCAGCATGTTCATTGACTTATAGCCATCACCCATTAAATGTTGGGGCCAGGAATTCCCAACAGAACTTACACAACATATTCAATGGTAAGGATCATAGTTCAACTCACTCTAGATAAATTCAAGCTCTAATTGAGGGAAGCTCTTACAGTTTTATGAATATTCACTACTGTGTCAGGTGATCTTAATCATGGAATGTTATGTTTTAAAAATTGAGGCATCGTTGCATAGAGGCTCATTTATTACCTGCAGTGAATTACTCCATTTGAACAAGCAATTAAATATACATATTCATTTACGCAGGTACAATTATTTCCATGAATTAACATTTTAAAGATAGCATATAAAATGCACAAGTTACCAGTTTTTAGACTGGAGTGGCAACTCTGCAAGGCTGAGGAGATCCTCAAAATAGTTGTCTACCACATGCCCTTGTGGGGACTTTATTTCCCTGTATTTGGTCCTTCCTGGGTTCCTAAAGGGTATTTTGAAAAATGTTGAGGCATTAAAAGTGCTAAAATAATTTTGACCAAAGAGGTTCTCAAATACAGTGGAAATGCACTTTATAGATGTCACTTTGAGGCATTTTAATGCAACTTTTATTGGCTCATAATGGGCCCTTGGTGTCCCAAATGACCCCGGGGGTTGTACACAAAATGCAGGCTGTGTTTCCCCCACACCTGGTTTAGACTGAATAATGTACATAATGAAAACTGGGTACTTGAAATTTACTATATTTTAATTTGCATTGTGGAGCCCCTGATGGTGCAGTGGGTTAAAGGTCTGAACTGCTGAACATGTTGACAAAAACGTCGCAGGTTCAAATCCGGGGAGCAGCGTGAGCTCCTGTTGTCAGCCCCAGCTTCTGCCAACCTAGCAGTTCAAAAACATGCAAATGTGAGTAGATCAATTGGTACCGTTCTGGCAGGAAGGTAACGTTGCTCCATGTAGTCATGCTGGTCACATAACCTTGGAGGTGTCTACGGGCAACGCCAGCTCTTCGGCTTAGAAATAGAGATGAGCACCAACCTCCAGAGTCAGACACGACTGGACTTCATTTCGGGGGAAACCTTTACCTTTAATGTGCATTGTAAACCTTTAAACAGATTTGCTCAAATAATTTTTTCATATTCTTTGCAGCGTCATGAACACTCTCTTATAGTCTTTATACTTCCTGTATTTCTGGCAGTTTAAAATATGAAGAGGATATATTATATTAAGCACACCTAAAAAGACCAAAGTGAATACTGTTATATTAAAAGCTGTTTAATGCAATCTTTGAGAATTAACAAAAAATATACAATGGAGAGGTATATGTTATTATTGGTTTCCAATACTACTTGCATAGGCTTTTGATGATCTTGCTGACACAGGTTTTATTTCCTCGCTAAGCAATGAGTGAGTGATCTGAAATGCTGCCTGAGTGAGTCTCCGAAGGCATTCTGCCAAGTCACTTTACAGAAATGTAATCCTAGGCAGGGCTATTGGTTGAGGCTAGTTTATCTCTGGAGTCAACGATGGTCCTTTAAAAATTCACCAGATCACATGTCTTTTTCAATAATGGTGCTTAACTGTTTTGTGTTCTGATTTTGTGGGCATGTGAAAGAACGTTGATTTTCCGAATAATGTGACATGTCCACTGGTAACAGAAAACTGACGGCCTTTACTTTACCCCTAAGGGGAAAACATACAAAATATTGTCAGAACAACCTTTGATGAAATGCTTTTCTTTCTTGTTTGCAGACACATCAGCACAATGTGGCCTATCAATGTAAATCTACCCATATTAGAACTGTACAGTCTAGTGATTTTTTAATTTAATTTATGTCTAATTGTAGTGTATAATTGTAATTGTTTATACTGGCATTGAATTTTTGCCATTACTTATGTGTAAACCACTTTGAGTCCCCCTCGGGGTGAGAAAAGCGGTATACAAATACTGTAAATAAATAAATAAAGGCTCTAGTACAGTCTAGTAAAAGGCTCTAGTACAGTCTAGTGAGTGGCAAACACTAATATTATACATTGGCTATTTAGTTACATCTGCATAACTACGCAATGTCTTCTGGCTTGACCCTCCTTAGCCCATGATAAGAGCTCTCAGGTGGACTCGGCGAGGAGTTTTCATTCAGGACACAAGGAGGATGACATTTCTCACCCCTCCTACCAGCCAGAACGTACATCGCTTTGAATTCCACCCATGGGAGAAACGTGGGATAAAATAAATAAATAAATAGTAACAATAAGCAAGAAGATACAGTAGAGGTCCTACTTCTGATTGTCATAGCCTCATTCACTGGTGGGAGAGTTCTGGAAATGCCATTCTTTGTACCCTGATTGGAAGCTAAACAAACTCAATTTGTTGATAATGTTGGTACCAACTGGATTGACATAGCATTCATGTTTTATATAAGACTGCATAGACTTACCTGAGTACAGAACGTTTACAGATCCCTAACTCTAGGTCATTAATCTGTAATTGCATTCCTGAGTGTCAGCCACAATTTGGAGAAAAACAAAATTTGGAAACATGTCTGTAATCTAGGCAACAATGTTCAAGGGAAACATGAATGATTCCTTTTTCATTAACTCTGAGTAGACTGTAATTATTCTAAATGTAGCTTCCAGTGTTTGCAGTAGCATTAGTATTTCAACAGAACCACACAATATAATTGGTACAATATATAATGAACTGAAGTATCCCAACAGGTCCACATAGAGTACGAGCAAATGCTCTTAATCTTGAAGAGGATCCACATATGCTTTCTATAGCCAGCTAATGAATGTGACATGTGTAGTAAATTTAAATAACTAACACACATGGGTGCATGATAATCAGGAATATATTCCTTTGTCCTTGGCCAGACTAGCATAAACTAAGATGAAATGTCTCTCAATGCTCTTAATAGACAGACCAAAGACAAAGCAATATACATAATGATAGTTATTTCTAGCCATAAAGTCATCTTGCCATTCTAGATCTTGAAAAAAGTTCATTTTTTGGATTACGCTTCCCAGAATCACCAGGGCTGATTGAAGGATTCTCTCAAATGCCATTCAGCAAAGGAGACTAGTATCCTGTTGGTGAATTACAATGGCATAATTATAAATTTACTCTGATATAAACTAGATGCACTATCATAATTCCTCCTTTTTTGGTCAATGCAGAGCTCAGAATCCACTGTTGGTCATGTAATTGCTGGTATGGTATCCCACCAAAACATACCTTATCCCAGTTGAAGCCTCCGGAACCTGGTGATTTCCTAGTTAGTGGAAAATTGCAAGTACAGAGCAAACAATCATCCAATTGTTTTTTGTACAACTGGACATAGAACAATGACATCATCTGCAGAGATCTCTGGAGAACGCTGTGGTTGCATGTCACTGTGCATTCAGCTATAGGAAAATAGAGGGATGCTTATCTGCCATGTTCTTTCACTCTCCAGCAACTAAGAAATGGCTTAAGTTCGGGGGGCCCAGTTATTTATTTATTTATTTATTTACTGTGCTTATAGACCGCTGTTCTCAGCCCAGGGGCGACTCACAGCGGTGTACAACATGGAGAGAATAAGGTGCAAATTACAAGACATAATCTAACAACAACCTAGCAATATCAGTTGAGAAGAGAATACGTAGGTTTTCTATTGTAGCTTATGTCTCATAGCTTCATATGTATCCAGATGCAGGATTGAAGTTGAAAATTCTATGTATTTACCTTATAGAAAGTCATATTGTCAGTGGGGTATATTGTTAGGATTGTAGCTCATTTTATTCCCATAATAATGACAAAGAATTTTGCACACTTCCAATGATTTACACCAGGGTTAGGTGGACATTTTGCTTTCCAGATGTTTTAATGCACAAGTATCATAATCATTTACGACTGGTTATGTTGGTTAGCATTTATTAAAGTTGAAGGCTAAAACATCTGGAAGGTCAAAATCTCTCCCTCACACTCCTGAGTTTCTGCAAAATTGTCCTGACGTATTTGTATCAACATGGAATAGGCAACTGCCAGGGATATGGGACTACATTGGCCATCCATGGAACACTGGAGTGCTTATCTCCCACCCTGAAATAAGTCCTTTAAATAAACACATCAATTCTGTGAAGCCATGACCACTCTTGGGCCTAAAATTGTGTCTGTTTAAAAAAATAGAGCACCAGTGTACTTTCCGCATCTTTACAATTCATTAATAGGGTTTCTTAGGATCTCTTATACATAGGTATGTATAGTAAGCCTTCCACTCTCCTGAGGGTTGCAGTGCAAAGTCCCAACAAAAATGGAATCACCATGAAAAATACCTAAGAGAACAACTTTCTAGTACTCTCTAGGTCCTCCAGGATTACTCACTAGATCTTTTCGCGTGACTGTATAGTCAACCTCTGTGGGAAGCTGACTACAGAATTGCACTGTAGGACCTAGAGATTCTTAGAAAAGTGTTCTTTAGTATCAAACTGAGGGTGCTTACAGACAAGAGTTAAACCTGTGCCAAATCGGGTTTAAAAACCCGCTTCAGCGTGGGTTTAAATCCACCCCCCCCCAAAAAAAACCCCAGGCTTTCCCGAGTGGGGTGTCTAGATGCCATCCCAGTAACTACCAGGATGGCATCCAGCCACCACGAAGCCCCCAAAACAAGCCTGAAACCTTTTTAAAACTCACCAGGAGACAGGGCGAGGAGCATCATTTCTATGTGCCAGGAGGATGGAAGCACCACCATAATGGTGACCCTGTAAGTTTTAAAAGACTTTTCAGGCTTATTCCAGGAGCTTGGGGAAAAGGGTAAGCACTATCCCACTCCCCTGGATTTTAGGAATCCTGAAGAAGCAAGATGGCTGTTGGGACTTACCGCTGGGTAGTCCTAGGACTACCCGGGGTTGAGTCCCCACAGACCCAATATCTCAGTAGGCCCAGGCCTTTCAGGAAGACCTGGATCTAATGGGGTATCTAATTAATTTGGGAAAAAGCAGGTAAACTCTGCTTTGTTCTGAATTAATTTGCTTCTACCTGAGGAATTGTTTGAATGTCTTAGATAGAAGTAAACAGATCCTGCATTTTTGGGCTTGTCTGGAAGGGCCCCCTTTTTTTCGTGTCAAGAGCAACTTGAGAAACTGCAAGACACTTCTGGTGTGAGAGAATTTGATGTCTGCAAGGAAGTTGCCCAGGGGACGCCTGGATGTTTTGATGTTTTACCATCCCTGTGGGAGGTTTCTCACATGTCTCCGCATGGGGAGCTGGAGCTGGATTCAAACTTCTGACTGTTGGTCTTCGGTCCTGCCAGCACAAGAGTTTAACCCATTGCTCTAGGACTTCCAAGGTGATTTTATGAGTCATTCTGGAGGACACTGAAAAAACATATTAAGCAATCTCAAAAGTAAAGCTGGCCATTGTGAAGGGCCAACTGTACACATAAAGTTAAGTAATGTAAATAGCGATCCTTGTTTCACTTAACAAGGTTTTAATGTTCTTAAATAATATTAAAAGAGGTTTTCTTGACAGTTTAATTATTATTATTTCAGCATTCATTTGGCTTACCTGCATTTGTAAACATGGTCTTGGAAAGATCGCCTTTTATTTGGTGCAATACTGGAGAGGCAATCCGATGGTACTTTTGAATATCCTTTCTCTTCTTTGTTGGTTATTTGCACATCTGTAGGAAAGGCTGGTGGTTTGATTATACCCTTTACTTCAAGAGCTCCTTTGAATGGATTCCTCTTTTCGGATTTATAATGCTTTTTGCCAGTAAGTGAAGGCACAGATGAAGAGATGGAATAACGTCTGACAGTCATAATATTACCTGTACAAAGAATGTAATTAATAGTATGGGTGCATCCATATAACTTTAGTATGGGATCAGATATTGGCCCCTCAAGGATGGAACATCCCATTAAAAATGGGATGTATAGGAAGATTAGTTTGTGTGAAATTAAATGTAGCCCCAAATCCAAAGTTATGAAAATAAGTCAGCCATAAATTAGTTATGTGGAATAATTAAGATTGACTGGAGATGAGAAGTGCAAAAAACCTGTTGGATGCAGACAACTTTATAGCAGTAATGGTACATCAATGAACTTCCATATAATATCGGCTTTCAACAGCGTAGGCAATGTTACTGTAGTTTCACAACATTTAGGAACCTAAGACTGAGAACCACAGCTTAAGAGGAATGAAACTGTACATGACGTTTTGCTTGGCATACTTCTTGCAATAATTTGTGAATTAATATATTTAGGTGAACATCTAGAACTCTTGACGTTGTTTATTTGGCCAGTCACTTCCAACTCTTCGTGACCTCATGGACCTGCCCACGCCAGAGCTCCCTGTCGGCCACGGCCACCCTCAGCTCCTACAAAGTCATGCCAAGGATGCCATCCATCCATCTTGCCCTTGGTCTACTCTTGACATAGATGTCTTCTTTACCTTTTATTCCTTAGTGGATTCACTAAGGCAGGTATGAATATGTAATCACCTTAGATTTATAGCTACACAGTATCTCCCAATCTGATTCCTCCCATCTGCACTCTGCAGGCAGAAGCAGCAATCAATGGGGGTCTGTTCCCCTGCCAGTCAGGAAGCAGCTGACTGACATTTCTATCTCCTCCATGAACACTCTTCAATGTGATAGCCAGAAGCAATATCTCTGTTGAAATTCCCTCTCGCATACAGATAGTTTGCATGCGAGGGTGGATAGGAATGTTGGTCTGTCACTTCCCAATGAACAGGAGAACAGATCCCTATTGGTTGTAGCAGCTGCTGTCTAGTAAGTGGGGAATGGGGGACTTTCATATTCTCTACATATCCCATAAACTAGACAATACATAGTAATCTTGAGTAGGAAGCAGTTATGAATGCATAACTCTTGGTTATGCATGCATACCTGCTATAGTGAATCTTGATAATCACATTTTAGGTTGCCATTTTTGAATGAAATTGGGGTGTGCAACACTAGGATCAGGATGGAGGTGTTAAGTAATTACATCATTCACAATTTGTGCATCATGATGGCAGTTTTGTTGAAGATGACAAAAGATCTCATGAAACAGATGTTCCCTCCATTTTGTTCTGTTTTGCCAGAGATTGCCGGCAAGCAGGAGGTACATGGGGCACCTTGCGACAGCCCGAGCACCCTCCCTCCTTCCCTTATCACACGGGGGCATATGGACAAGACACAGCACACTGTACCCATCAGAATGGGGAAAGGGTGGCAATGTGCATTGCCATGTTGCACTTTCCCCCATCTCATGGAGGAAAGACCCAAAAATGTGGATAGCTCCAATGTCACTTACTTTAGCGTCATTGGTGAGGAAGCATCTTGCAATGCTTCCTCGCTACTTCAGCCATGAATGGAGTGGGACCCAGCCAGCATCATGTGATGGTGCTCAGCAGGCCACATGGCTGAAGAGTAGCAATGGGCCAAAAGCCCCTTGGGTGATAAGGTGGTAAGTGCCTCATCACACTAGAGCATGGATCCACTTTAAATCTGGTTGCTGTCTCCTGCAGAATTCTGGGATTTGTAGTTTAGTGACTCCCAGGATTTGCCTGGCTGAGCAGTTTAAAGGCCTCTCTCTAATTTACAAACCCCAGAATTCTGCAGGAGGCAGCAATAAGATTTAAAGTGGATCCATGCTCTAGTGTGGTGTGGATTATAGCATTTGATATCAACAATCATGATGTAGTTTTTGAAGGAATTGGGACTAGTGCACAGCTTTCATTTGGTTTGAAGTAAACAGAATCGGAAAGTGGTGGTGGGTGACCAGTGCTTCTTTCTTGACTAGAAGTTTATAGGATGTTGTGTAATGTATTACTTTGTCCTCCCTTCTATTAACATATACATGAAACCACTAGGTGAAGCCTCAAGGGAGCTGAATGTTGAGGTTAGTAGCATCTAGACTTTCTGGAGCCAACATGCTACACACTGAAACTTAATCCTGATAAAAGCCAGACAGAAATACTTCGAATAGGTATGTTATCTGACTGGGGATTCAGTATGCAACCCATCTTACATTCTCTCAAAAAGATCAGCTGTGCATTGTCTTTTGTGCTTTGGCATTTCTGTTAGGGTATACTAATGATTCAGAACACTTGCTGGATGTATTTTACTTATCTGGCAAAGGTGTACTTTTCCACTGTCATTAATTCACTGGTATTCTTCAGGTTACACTACACGGTCAAGATGAGTTTTCCCTTGAGATGTTTTGGGAAATAGCAACGGGGCAAAACATAGTTATTGGGCTGGTGCCAAGGGTGTGCCATTTTGATCATGTTATATCTACTTTGATTTGGTTACCCCTATGTTAGTTCAGTTAATTGGTAGCCATTTTGTTCATGGGCTCCATTTTCAGTACAGAGTTTAAGTATTAAAACCTCAAAAGATTATGAAATGAGTACCCTAAGAACATAATTTTCCCATCCATTGCTCCCAAAGTGTTCCTGTCACAATCTGCAGTCTGACTTCAGATTTTCTGACCCGATGGTATTAGGTGTGCATTCATAATATTTAGTTATTGTCACTGTTCAGTATCTATGCCACTCTGCAAGCTGTTCTGACAACACAGATTCATCAGGTCCTAGAAAGAGCCCATTGTCTTATGTAATAGATTTTGAATTGTAAAAGTTACTTAGGGTAACCTGAGGGCCCTTCCACACAGACCTATATCCCAGAATATCAAGGCAGGAAATCCCACATTATCTACTTTGAACTGGGTTATCTGAGTCCATGTTGCCATATATTCCAGTTGAAAGCAGTTAATGTGGGATTTTCTGCCTTGATATTCTGGAATATAGGGCTGTGTCGATGGGTCCTATATTCCCATAACTGTTGGAGGACTCTTGAAATCATAATCCTCCCAAAAGTAATTGTTCTAAGTGCTGATAAAACTTTAGGGCAGTTTGTGTTCTTAAAGAAAAGAATAGCCCTTGGATGTAATTTAACAATTTTCCCTCAAACCTTTTTTTGTTTTTATGACCAATATTCTCCGTTAGCTACCTAGTTAAATATATATAAGTAAGTATACCTAAGTAAGTTAACTATTCTGGACTGACCTCCCCAGACCTGTTGGAAACATGGAGCACAGATGAATGACATTTCTATTAGGTTTGTGAAAGTTGGGCCAGATGACGTAACTTAATTACTTAGTGTAGCTGACAGAGAATACTTACTAACCAATGTTTTAAAATCTGTTTTAAATATTATGGAGACTTTCTTTACTACTTTGAGTCTTCTATCTTGGAAATAAATGGAATATAAGATTATCAACAAACAAGCACTGGAACTAAGGTACCTTATTTCTTCAAACTGTACTCAAGATAATTGTGTTTTCAAAGCTACACTAATTTAATTGTGAGCCAGATATTGATTTGTGGGTGGCTTTTTGTAATTTTTAAATAACCTTTGGATTGTTGCCTAATACTTATAGCATTTTAATTGATTTTTATTATGCCATAGAAGTTCTATTACTTTTTTAGCATGTGCATCATCACAAGAGTTTATGTGCATTGGATTGCTATGGTTCTCATGTGAAAGACTGGGAATTTGGGCTGTGAAGACTTGTCATACCTTCTAACATTTCATAGATGAAACCAGGACATGAATGGTCAGGCAACAGAGTGTGATCCAGATGCCAATGTTATTAATGAGAAGAGCACACAAATTAGGAGAAACTGCAACAGTTCACTTTTGAACTTTGAATATAATTTGCAGCAATTGAAATAAGCTAGGATAAGGGGGAAAGTGGGAAGAGGAGAAAGTAACTCTGGGATATTTTAACAGAAAGTGAAATGGCAGAGGATTAATTGCATTGTTCAATTGGAATAGTTCTGGGGTATCTTATGTTTGAGTTTAACAAGAGAGTTGGAATACTTCACATCTGCCCTTCTCAACCTAGGGTCATCTATCATTGTTTGACTACAATTCACATAGTCAGCTGATAACATGGCCAACTGTTGGGATGACATGTCATCTATCAATATCTTGAGTACACCAGAGTGGGAAAGGCTGCTTTATCCTCTGTTCTAATTCATCAGTGATCAAAATGAGTGGCCCTTTAAATATATGTTGGCTAAGGCTGATGGTAGTTGCTGCCCTATGATACCCAGAGGGCCACAAGTTGCCCCCTTTTACTAGAATAAGAGGGATTAGTTTGTCTCATTACTTACAGTCACGGTTTGTCCAGAAGTAGGAAAAGTTGCTTTTCTTTTAGATGGTGACTTCCAGAATTTCTAGGGGCCTTTCCACACAGTCCTATATCGCAGGATATCAAGACAGAAAATCCCACAATATCGGCTTTGAACTGGGTTATCTGAGTACATACTCAAATAATGTGGGATTTTATGTCTTGATATCCTGGGATATAGGTCTGTGGGAAGGGCCCTAAGCTTGTCGAAGGCTTTTTTTTTGGGGGGGGGGTCCATTATAAAAAAAGCAACTTTTCCAAGCACTGAATTATTGCCCTCACAGAAACCTTGGCTGTTTGGTACCTTTTTGCTCCTGTAGCATCAGAGCTGAGTCAGCTGAGGCATTCCTGCGCAGTGCCACGGGAGAACCACTGGCTTCATCGTCTGCATCTGGGAGGCTCTGAGTTTCCTCCTTTTTGGCTTTATCTTCTGCTCCTTCCTCTTGTTTGGATCCCTTTTGCCCACCAAATTTCAGTTCCCCACGAAGTGCTCTGTTTTCCCTCTCTAGCTTGATGATCTCGGAGCGCATTTCCTGGATGACTCGCATGAGCCGCTTGTTCCCTTCCATTTCCCCCCCTCCCTCCTTGCCAGACTGCCAGTTCCAGCAGAGCTTGCTTTTAAAAAGAAACCATGAATCCAAGGTGAGGAGCTCATGTGGCACATAAACACATCTGAACAATAGCACTCCCTCCCTGGGCTCAACATTGTGCAGTCTTTCACCACCAGCAGAGCTTGGATAAACTGTCAAGGCTTCAAGAGCCTCTCCATGATTTATTCATTCTGGGTTTCATTTTTCCAAATTGAGCTTTCTTTTGGCAGCAGCTCCTTCTGCACATAGATGCGGGCCCTGTTGATTGTGTAAAGCAGGATCATGTTCAATGAGTACAAATGCAAACATTCATCCCACATTTGCCTCAAAATTTGCATTCAGTACCCTCCAACATTTCACAGATGAAAACCAGGATATATTTGGCTAAGCTACATCACGGTGAGATCAAAAGGGCAAAAATGATTATTTATTTATTTCAACTATTTGTACCCCGCACTTCTCAACCCCTGTAGGGGGAATCAGGGCAGCTTACAGCCAGCAACAATTCAATACCCCCCCCCCCATACAAAATAATAAAATACAATAATTACATACAGGGAAAAACATTTAATCAATTCAAATTCAAATTTGTTTTAAAATATTACTGGCTGGTTGGCCTTATCTAAAGCAAATTCTGTGAGCTGTGACTCAATCAGAATTTCTCCATAGTCCATTTCCCATAGTGTTGTTATCATTGTCACTGTCATTATCAGCATGGTGCCAGAACCATGTTTTCAACTTCTTTCTGAAGGAAAGGAGGGATGTAGATGATCCAATTTTGCTGGGGAGTGAGTTCCACAGGCAGGGGGCCACCACCGAGAAGTTCCTGTCCCTCGTCCTCACCAAGCGCGTTTGTGACAGAGGCGGATCAAGAGCAGGGCCTCCCCAGAAGATCTTAAGCTCCGAGGTGGGATGTAGAGGAAGATATGTTTGGACAAGTACACTGGTCCTGGAACTGTATAGCACTTTATAGGTCAAGACCAGCACTTTGAATTGTGCTCGGAACTGGACTGGCAGCCAGTGGAGCTAACATAATGGGAGGGCGGGGTATGCTCCCTATATGATGCTTAATGAAGAAGAACATACAAACTGACTAATCCACATGACAGTGTTATAGCATTTTGACACCGGTTTAACTGCCATAGTATCATCCTATGGAATCCTAGGATTTGTGGTTTGTCATGGCACCAGACCTCTCTACCCGAGAAGGATAAATAAACAAAACTACAAATCCAAGAATTCCATAGCATGGAGCCACACAGAGTCTGCAACAGACATGGGTAAACTCTTTGAAACAAGGGCCACATTGTGTTTTAAAATTTGACAGATGGGCTGGGCTAGTGGGTGTTTGTGTGAACTAGTATACATTGCTTGTAAAAGCCATAACATAAAGTTTTGCCCTTTAAAGTGCAGCCAAAGCAACAAGTGTAGAGCCAGTGATTGCCATATGATGAATAGTAACATGTTTTTTTGTTACTCAAGGATCTGTTTTAAACTTATAATTTATTAAATTAGCTACATCACAAAATGCAAAGAAACATACCATCAGTGTCAGTGAGAACAGTTTTGTTGTCATCCTTTTTTTGCTGTCATATGTATTTCAGAGGAAGGAAGTGGCCAAACCACCTCTGAGTCTTCCCTGCCTATCAAAACTCTATTAAGCAGCAGCTTTCCCTAGAATTTTTACTAATGAGAAATATATTTTCCACCTTGATGAAGATCTGTTTTGTTTATAACATTTACTAAACATGTGCACAGCAATATTGTGGGAGGGAAAGGAGAGATGGACCAAGCATGAATCTTGCATTAGAAATGAAAGACAATATCATGAAGTGCTCCTGTTACCTGCTCCCTGGGACTGTTTTGTGCAGTAAAATGCCCTCTTGTAGAATTTCCCCCCATCTAATTTAATATGCCTAAGAAAATGCAAGGGAACTCAGTGAGCAGCACAGAAGGATTCTATATATATAGAATGTGTGTGTGTGTGTGTAATATAATCATTCATTTTTTACCATTTCTAAATAAATAAATTTTGACTCATTTTGCATATTAGCTTAAAGCTATGGCTTATATCTATTAAGCCACCACAGCAAGTCTGTACATCTTCAGTGGTGTGCTGATGCTTGGGCAGGTGGAAGGTCATACAGGTTGAGTTCCATTTATCTGAACTGCCAAAAGCTTTTTAGATTTAATTTTTAAAAAGATTTTGGAATACTCGCATTTGGATATACAAAGTGAATGAAGGGAGGGAGGGAGGGAGGGAGGGAGAAAGGGGGCTAGTAACATGTCTAGCATACACTGAATTTTCATCTTTTTCATTCTCTCTGGGCTGGCTACACGTGATGGTCAATGGGCCACTGTCTTCGGTTGTTTAAAAGTTTTATTGAGTTTATTGTATTTCATGCTTTACCTTGATTGTTGTTTATCTGTTTTGGGGCATTGAATGTTTGCCATTTCTGTTATTTCTGTAAACTGCCCCGAGTCCCTTCAGGGAGAGAGGGTGACTTATAAATAAAGTTATAAATAAAATGTTGTTGTTTTGTTGTTGTTGTTGTTGTTGTTGTTATTATTATTATTATTATTATTATTATTATTATTATTATTGGATGCTCATCTCTATCACCATTTTAACTTGGGCAGTTGTGGCTGCTGCATAACACCATTTGTCAAATGAAAAATGAATGCAAAAGCATCTAGGGTGTTTAATTTTACAGAGGCCTTGTGAGATCAGAATAATCTAGCCTTCTTGCTCTTTTGTTTCTTGCTCTTTTGTTTTTACTTGAAGAAAAAATCAGCAGGCACTAGACATATAGCTAAATCCCTTATTCAAAGACAGAAGTGAAGGGCAGGTGGCAAAAGATCTAGTTTTTGGAGGTTTTTGAATCTCTGGATAAGGGAGACTCCACTTGCATTAGTATTATCATAAGATATAAGAGGACGAAATGTGTGTTCATAGCAGGGTTAAAGTTAATTGGCATTAATTCAAGATGAGTTTGTTAATATTTTTAGTTAAAATTATAAATGATTATATTTTGTCAATTATTGATAATGTATTAGCAATTTATTATAAAACATTACTTTTAATTTATTTCTTCAATTAGCAAATCATTAAAATTACTGAACTATCTGCAAGTGCCCCCCCCCCCAAATACCCCCAGGCCGGCCTAAACCCAATTGTTAGCCCCAACTAAAGTGGACCACTTGAATCCAAGGGGATATATATAAGTGTTGATTTACCATTAAACAATTGCTTGTCAGTCCTAGTTAGGGCTACTAATATAATCCCCAATATTCAAATAAAGTTCAAGCATCCTTTAACTGGAAATCTGAAATATTCCAACATCCTAAATTGTCCTCAAGGGTGACTGATGTCACACCTTTGCTTTTTTGGTGGTTCAATATACACAAACTTTTTTCATGAAGAAATTCCTTAAATATATTGTATACATTTATATGGAGGTATTTGTAAATGGTATATATGAATCCACAAATAATTATATATTTAGGCTTTGGATCCATCTGCCATTATGTATGTTTATGCAAATACAGACATTATGAAATGCAAAACAAACCTGGTTCCAAGTACTTTGGATAAAGGATACTCATCCTTTAATATAATATATGAATCACTACTTGATGTGTTGCTGTTGTTTAATTATTTACACAACTTTAGAAATCATTTTTGTATCATTAATTAATTAATTTAAAACAAAGTATTTCCAAGCTCTGATATAGTTACTGTAGCTCTTTCACAATGTTTTTGGTATCTTCTGAAACTAGTTGTATTATGTTGACAATAACTATGTGTGATGATATCATTGTAAGAGCACCATGGTGAGATGCAGTGAGAACAATTTATTTTGTGCATGTTAAGAGACAGCTTTGGAACACTTGTTCCAACACATTATGCCCTCTGTTGCTCATCAGTGGATTTGCTGAATGCCTCAGATAATTCCTTGGCAGAGTTGCTTTTACTGTTGTTTAAGCTATTGTTGGTGTTGAGCTACCTGTCCTCCCTGCCTTCTTCATACTGGGAAAATGAATAATTTTGAAATGTTGCCTGTGCCACTGAATGTTATTATATAGCACTCTGAGCACCCCTTATTTGGAAATCCAAAATATTCCAAAATCCAAAATAGTCCACATGAGTGATTGAGGGCCTTTCCAGACAGGGCCCAAAATGCGGAACAAAATGCAGACCTGTTGGACTTTTACCTGAGGCATCCAAAAATGAAGTAATTCGAGACAAAGCACGTACACCCTGCTTTGTCTCAAATTGCTTTGATGCTGTATTAGACCTGGGCCTTCCTGAAAGGCCCAGGTCTAATGGAATATAGGCCCAGTGGGGACTAACCCACAGGACTGCTTCCACAGTCCTGTGGTCAGTCCCCACAGTCTACATCAGTTCTTCAAAAAGCCCAGAGAATCGAGGAGGATACCACTGCCCAAAAGCTTTACTGTGACATCATTAGGCCTCCCTGGAGGCCTCCTGGAGCAGACAATGATGTGCCAGGAGGTGTGTGTGTGTGGGGGAGGGGATTGCTTCTGCCCCCACCTCTTGGCACATCATTAGTACATTCCAGGAGGCCTCCTGAGAAGCCTAATGGCAGCATGGTACATTTTTCATTTATTTTAAGGCTTTTTGAGGGGGGAGAGGAGGTTGGTGGCCCCATGCTCTCCCAGAAGTTATTGGGAGGGCATGAATACAGCCAACTGGGGTGAGAGGACTTAAACCTGTTTTTGAGTGGGATTCTATAACCCTCTCTGAAACAGGTTTAAGTGTAGTCTGGAAGTGCTCTGAGATAGTGACAGTATTGCTTTCTTATGGTTCAATGTATGCGAACTTTATTTCATGCACATTCTTAAAATATTGTATAAAATTATTGTCAGATTATGTGTAGAAAGTGCATATGAATTTCTTGTTTCAATTGAGTCTCGCCTCCATATATCTTTTTATGTAGATATATGTGAATAAAATGTATTCTCAAATCCAAATAAATAAATAAATCCAAAATACTTATGGTTCCAAGAATTTTGAATAAGAGATACTGAACCTATGTATAAAGACACATGTTGTAAATAAGTTGTTGGTTCCCATTGGTTTTAGGAAATCCTGGTGAATAGCACAATGGGAGACCATG